CACGGCAGCTTGTAAGCGGAAAGAGGAACTGAAGGCAGAAGGGTGGCAAGTGTTAAATGAACCCCTGCTTGTTTTCATGCTCCTCCTGCCTTGTGCCTTCAGTCTGCCTGGTGCTTTTCTTCTCCAGTTTCCCATTCCTGTGGCTTCACCCCCATCTTCATCCTTTCCTTGTGCCGCCCACTGCGGGTCAGTCTTTTCCCTCCTCTCTGCCAGTTCCAGAGTCCTGCATCTTCCCCTGTGTCTTTCAGATCTCAAGTCAAATGCGGAGTCAGCATCAACCTCTTGGGCCCCTTCTGCTGACCCCTGGGCTCCCATCCCTGCTGCTTCCAGCGATCCCCTAAGCCAGACAGCATCTACCAACCAAGCCTTGGCAGCGCCTTGGGACCTGCCCCCTGTTGTCTCCTCCTCCTCCGATCCTTGGGGGAAGACGCCCCTGTCTTCAAGTTTCTCTGCTGTAGACCCCTGGGTGAAAGCATCCCCGCCCCCACCCGCTGCTGCCGATCCCTGGAGAAGTGCTGTCGAGAACCCTCCCAAGGCCGGTAAGAGAAGCCTGTTTTGTTCAAAGCCTCGGGGTTGGTTCTCCTGCCATCCTAAAAATGAGTCTTGTCTCTCCTTTGGGATCCAGGTTTCTCTTAATTACAGCCGCCTGCATTTGCAGCCATTGAATTCAAATCAGCTGCTTACAAAGGGCTGGATGGAGTGGATTCTGCTGGCCTGAACTCCCAGCAGAGCTATGCTGGATGTGGGGCAGTATGAAGGAGATCAGGGTCTGAGCACTAGGAAACACTGGTTGTCTATGATTTGTATGTCTTTCCTGTTCATGCTCACTGGTGTGTTGGCCATTGATGTCCTCCAGTGACGGCTCATTGATTCACTCTCTGCTTTAGCCCTGGAGGTCCTGTTACCGTCAGGTCTCGCCGACTGACTTCATTTCTCTCTCTCTCTCCTTCTGCTCTTCTGCGTTCTCCTTATCCCCCTCTCAACCTGTCTCACTTCTTTCTTCGTCCCTTTTTCCAACTGACGGCCCCTGCCCTTCTCTGATCTCCGTACCTTCTCTGCCTCCTGCCTTCCTCTCACTCCCCTTGTTGAGCCCCTGCGTCTCCCTTCTTCCTCTCTGCTTCAGGTGGTGACGCTTTTGACTTGTTTGCAAACCCAGTGGAGCCAACAGAGCAGCCAGAGCAAGACAAAATACAGGCCCCATCATCTCGCAGATCCACCAGCCCTTTGGGTAAGAGAGGGCAGCAGATGGAGGGCTGGAGTTAGAGGTATGCTTAGGGCAGCATGGGACAGCAGGGAAATTCATCTGCCACCCTCTGCAAGAGAGGGGCAGCCTGTGATAAGCCAGAGGTTTTGCATTGTGTTGTATTTTTGGCTTGGCTGCCATGGTGTTTGCCTACAGACTGCACAGCGTGCTGCTGTGGTAGCAGTCGGCAGTTCACCTCTCTGCCGGCCTGTCTATGCTCAGCAGTCAGCAGTGGGGCTAGCTTTAGCCAGCTCAGGTACTGACTGAAGACACGGTGGCTTTGCTCTAGGCCACCCCCACCCCCCAGGATTTCAAGTATCTACCCTGCAGCCAAGACCACGTTGTCCCACCTTCACCGTGGCTGGAACCTGGCTGGTGAGATCAAAGCTAGCTTGGTGTCCACACACACTCCAGTCACGCTTGCCAATCGCAGTGTAAACCCACCCCTGTGTTGGACAGGTAGCTAGAGGGTTTGCACGTGGGCTAAGGCAGTCTCAGCCAGCTGCAGCTTTCCATTAGCTACAGCTGTCTGGGGTGAGGTGGGGAAAGCCACGGGTCTGACTCGGGTAGAGAGAGAAGGCAGCTTCTCTCTCTACCGATGGTGCCATGCCCATTGCTTCTGCCCCTCGCCTCTGGCACCCTCTGTGTCAAAGGCTGCTGCAGACAGAAGGGCAGCATTTGTGCATAGGCTGTGATTTTTCCATGCAGACATCCTCAGAGAGAGGGGCAATGCTTCTCGGACCCTGGCCTATTCCCCTTCCCGGGTTTGCATTGTTCTGCGTAGCTCTGCCCCCCTCCTGTACAGCAGGCCGGGCTCCAGCCTGTGGTTCTTTAGAAACACACTGTGCCTTCTCTAGCATGCCATTAAGCCTCACGTGCTTGTTCTAGACTTGGACCCCTTTGGTGACCCGGTTCTGATGACCAAGCAGGACGGAGCCAAGAGTTTTGATCTCACCAGCCTTGCAGACTCCCTTGCCGACTCCAGGAAAGACTGTAAAACGCCAGAGTCCTTCCTTGACCCTGCCGCCTCCTCCCTGGTCAATTTGGACTCATTGGTCACGGCCCCCCAGACCGCCAAGACCCGTAACCCATTTTTGTCAGGTAGGCTTTGGAGGGTGGGGGGGAGGGGGAGGATGGGAAGGAGGGAGAGGCATGCTGGAAAGGGCTGAGAGAGATGGTGTACAGGTCCTGAGGGTTGTGGTGGGCTGCGTATGGAGAAAGGTGGGAGGTCCACCCCAAGGAGGTGATGCAGGCCCTTGACAGCGTTCTTCCCACAACGCGCTGAGAACGGGTGACAGCCACTCAAGCCCCTGCATCTCCCTTGATCTTAGCTCCATAGTGAAAGACAAACCCATATTCAAGACCTGACCCGGCCAGGGAGCTTGGAGGTCAGTCTGAAACTTCTCCCAGGTGTTGGCTTCATCTCTCGTGTTATGCCTAAAGCTCAATGTTGCAGCCTTCTGTCAGAGTCCCTGGGAGGAAATGCAACCTTGAACGTTAGGGAACCATAGGCTTAGCAGCTGAATTCAACAGACCTGTTCAGAGAGCCCAGAGGCCAGCTTTGACCTTGACCCTCACTCCCATCCCCGTCCAGCAGGCTGCATCCCTGACAGTGTTGTGCTCTTTCTCCCGGCAGGTCTCAGTGCACCTTCTCCCACGAACCCATTCAGCATTGGTGACCAGGCCAAGCCGACGCTCAATCAGATGCGGACCAGCTCCCCGGTGCCAGGTGTGGCCATGGGAATGACCATGAACTCCATGACGTACAGTGCTTCGCTTCCTCTTCCGCTCAGCAGCATCCCATCAGCAGTGACCCTCCCCGCCTCCATGAGTGCCTTCCCGCAGGCTGGAGCAGGTCCTTTTCCAGAGCTGCCCAGTAACTTGCCCCAGCCTTTATTGCCACTGACTGGCTCTACTCCTCTCCCCCCATCACAGGGAGGGAGGAACCCTTTCCTCTGAAGCCTCTGGATCCGTGTTACGTGTAGTCTCTCTTGCCCCTTCCCCAGCTGTTTATACAGAAATCCCAGCGTTTCCTCATGCAAAGGCCTTCAGGGCACTGGCTCATTAGCTGTGATGGAGGAAACCTCTCATCTGCAACTCCTATTCCAGCACCTGCCTGGGTCACAGATAGACAGTTAGCATGAATATCCTTGCTTGAAGTGCTAGAGACGAGCCTGTTCCAGCATGGTGGGCAACAGATGGCTAGATCTGCCTCTGATGGCAACGAGGATGCTCTTGTCATCAGCTGGCCTTGCTGTGGTGGGCACCGAGTTGATGGCAGGGCCCTAAGAAAGGGCTGCAATTATCCAGGGCCCCCTGTGCTCCAGTGCTTTCTGCGAGGCCGCAGCCCAGTGTGAAGCCTTTTCACAGATGCCTAGTCTCCACAGGTCTCTTAGAGTTCATCCTGGGGTCTTCCAGGCAAGGAGGAATCCTTGTGTAATTGCACAGAAGGTGCAATCCTCTGTTGAGGCTTGCAGCCACAAAGCTTGCATGGAGCAGGGGCTGGGTGACCGTGGTTTGGGACATTTCCAGGGACAGAAATCCTCTGAGCCCCTTGCCTTCGCCAGAGTCACCGGGTGCTTCTCTGGTTACTGCACCCGGCTGCGGCCACCCACGTGCTTCCACTTGAATGCTAAGGTTTGAGACCCTCTTCCTCTGCCTCCTCACCCCCGTATTTGGGTGCCAATCTTGGGAAGCCTGCTGTCCCCTAAATGTTACTCAGCTTGGGTGCTGGTTCAGGGAACCACTCTCCTCTGCTGCTGTCTCCTGTGCTATTCTCCTGGAGACTGACCTCCGCTCCTGACCTTTTGCAGATGCTCCCGGTACACTATACACACCCTAGCCTTGGTGCATATCCTTTCAGCCTGACCCTGTCCCTCGAAACTCCCTGCTTGCACAGCCCTGACAGGCCTGTATGGCTTCTCCAGTTGCTGGATCCCAGTTTCGACCACTTGATGCTCTCCTGCCAGGACGGCTGTACGGTGTGGGATATGCACGCAGAGGGCTAGGATTATGTGTCCGGGAGATGAACAGGGCTGGATAGGGTTTTCTAGGCCATGAAGTCCTCTTCCCTCCATTTGCAGGCAGTCATTAACCCAAGGAAGCCCCCAAATCTAGGAGATTGCTTGGGTTAAGCTCCAAGTGCCAGCTGTGCTGACTATATAGCCTCCATGCCAGTGCCTGTCTGGGAGGTGGTAGCTTAGGGGATGTCACACGGCAGGGGAGGGAGCGGGGCGAAGGGAGTTGTGCTGTACAGTTGGCATCGCTTTAGTGCATATGTTCAAACACTTCTCTAAAGCAGCAGCGGCAGCCCCAACTCCACTGCCCCCGAGAGTGGTGGCTCTACCAGACCATAGGAAAACATGAACTGACTGTAAACAATAAAATATTCTAGCAGCTTTTGGTGTGGGACCTTCTTCCTTCCAAGGACATCGCTCTAGGCTTAACCCTTCCTTCCCTCCTAACTTGTAAGGGGGCCTTGCTTCCATATCAATGTCCGTCACTGTCTTCTGCCCCTCAGCCTCTTCCCAGCAGCGGTGAGCTCTGGACCCCACCTCTCTACCGAGCCATATAGCTACCGTGTCTCCAGCCTCTACACTTGCCTTGCACCTTGGGTCACCTTTCCCACCAGAGGGAAGTGAATTTAAGAAGCCACTGCTCTGCTCTGGCAGTGGTGTTGCACAGGAGTAAGTGCCCTCCAGGGCCCAGTGGGAGTTTCCTTTCATGTCCGGGGTTGCTGGAAGGCCATTTGGGTAACACAGCAGAGGAGGAATTTGAGCCCTTTCCAGTTTAACAGCCTGGCTAAGCTGCTGCTTCTGGAAGAAAAGGGGCCTATTTCTTTAAAGGCAGGAGCTGGGAACTTGCTGCCTCCCTGCCTCGAGCTCTGGCAGATGGGGATTGTTTCTGATGGAGCAGGGCTCTTGCGCTCCCATGGCCAGGCGCATCCCTCTGGCTGCTGGCCTGCAGTTCGTCTTCACATGAATCAGGCAGTGGAGACATCGGTCCCAGCTTCTTTCAGGGTGAATTGATGCCATTTGTACTCGTCTGGCTCCATTCCCACAGCATCTCTTGGAGATAGTTTGTGGTTTGCCTGCGTGGGGGATATGGGCCCATCAGCTCAGTTGTTCCTATGGAATAAGAAACAATACTGATGGCTTTGGCTTGCTGATGGTCTACCCAGATTCCCTTCCCCAGGCATCTCTGCATTCAGCGGGGAAGTACTTGTGGAAACTGGCCACAAAAGGCCTCTCTGGGCAGCTTGCTGGAGGGGCACAGGAGACTCAGTGTCACAAGCTGCTGGTTAATGCCAGCTAGATGGAAAACATGAGATCCCATGTGGCCCTCCTCCCCCATAACATGGATTTTCCCAGTCCTCCAGGAGCTGAGTTTCACCAACTGTATTAAAGTGAACAGGAGTAACACAGCGGGGCTGACTCTGGTTGTTACTCCAAACCTTGCACACTGCTCTAGCAGCACGGAGAGGCTGTAGGACTGTTGCAACAGCTGGGACACTGTAGGGCCAATTCTAAGTGACCCTACCCGGCCTCCCTTATAGCCAGGGGTGGTGGCCAGCAGAAGCCTCTTCTACAGGGATCCTGGGCTCCAGAGCAGCTCCATGTGCACTGCCCTACAGGAGCAGCCACCAGCATCTGTAGATACTACCTACACAGGCATATAACCTGGAGTGGACTGTGCAACAGGGGATTGTATGCCCTTGCCCTGCTCACCTGTGAGCCGCACCTTCAGTGCTGTTTCTCAGGAGCACAGTTGACTGTCGAGGATCTTCAGGGGTGGAGAAAGGAACCTCCATCATCTTCTCAGGATCTTTCTTCCATCTCAGCCACCACGCACTGCACTGCAAATTCCCCTTCTCTCATCTGACCTAATGGTGGGAAAAGAATCAATGTGGGACAAACTGATGTGCCACCCAGGCCATTGTCTCATCTCTAACAGTGCCTGATGCTCAAGGCTTCAGAAGGGAGGCAGGCTCCCTTCCCAGCTCCTACACTGCTAGCATGGTGAGCAGAGGGCATCCCCTCTTGATGCCATTTTGCAGCTAGTTTCCAGGCTAACCCATGTGGGCTGGGACGGGGCTGTGTCATGGAAGAGAACAGAGCAGGTTCCTTCAGGTGAGCCCTGCTTCCTGCTCCAGGATGGCAAAGAGGGGGTCGTGAGGGCCCAGCAAGCAGTGCGGGAAGCCAGGATTCTCCTCTCAGGCCCGAGTAGGACGGAGGAGCAAGAGGGAAGCTGTCCTGAATGGAGACGTCCCTGGGACACAGGTTTAGAGCCCAACTTTCAGTAACCGTTCTGCTAAGCCCCAAAATGAAGTGAGGAGAGTTCCCCGTAGCCTCCCTCTGCAGATTTGAAATCTGCTTTCATGAGGTCAGTGGTTGATACCATATAACAAACTGAAGCTGAGACAACACAGCTTGGGTGTAAGGTGGGCCACGCTCTGCCACTGCTGGAACATCGCTGAAGTCCCCTGTCACTGAAACAAAGTCCACCGACTCTGCGGGTCGGATAAACTGGCTTCACAAGCTGGATCTGGCACACAGGGCAGAGGTTGCAAACTTCTGAATTAGATGAATGTTTCCTCCTGCACAAGTGCATCCTGCAAATGCTCTCCACCCTCCAACCCCCTCAAAAATACACCTATTAGATGCAAGTGAGAACACAATAGA